CTCTCTTGAGAACTGCCCTTGAGAGAACCGCTCCGAAAGAACTTGTGACTGACCCAGGGTCACACCAGCAGCTGCATGTGGAGGAGTGGGGGAATCAAACCCGGTCCTCCCAGATTAGAGTCCGCGCTCCGAACCATGCTCCTAAAACCGGCTCTCAGCAAGCCCCGACACCTGCTGCCCACCCACCTTGACAGCTCCTCCTCCATCTTGCTTTCCGCCCCCTCCTCAGACATTCCCACTGCTGGTCCTGCCAAGAGACCCCCACCTGGCATCTCCCCCCCCCATTCACCGCCATCCAGCAGGCGCTCTCCAGAGGGGAAACTGACACAAATGTCCTTCCTCGGATGGGCAAAATCTGCCAGTGTCAGCTACGAGTCACCGATGGTGCCATGCTCAGCCAGTGCTCAAAGGCATCCTTTTTCCTGTTTACTTCTCCGCCGCCCTTCCTCCAAGGACCTCCTGGCCACCATATGCTTGATTCATGTTCCCGGGACAAGATGATTCCCGAACTCGTGTCCTTTATCCTGTTGTGCACACATACACGCACACCGCACAGTCCACCCGCCAGATATTCTCTGCCCATGCCCAGAAGCTCAAAGCAATATGCCCTCTGCCTATGCTCAGGGGCCAGCTCCCCGCCATCTCAGTCCACATTCTCTGCCCATGCTCGGAGATGCGCTCTACCTCTTTCATATTTTGGAGGCAGCCGATCACCACCCTTCCCTCCAACTCAGCCCGCCCGCCAGATGTTCTCTGCCCATGCTCAGAAGCCACACGCCCCTCACATTCAGGGGGATACAGCCAGGAGCCCCCTGATCCTTCCCATCCCGTACCCTCTGCCCATGCTCTGAGATGCTCTTGACTCTCCTAGTCTTCCCTCCCTCTCGGTCTCAGCCCACCCGCCAGGTGTTCTCTGCCCATGCCCAGAAGCTGCACCCACCCTTCACGTTCAGGGGAGGCTTGATCCGTCCCATCTCAGCCCAGGCCCTCTGCCCATGCTCTGAGGCGCTCCTGACTCTCCCACTCCACCCTCCCTCTGAGCCCGGCCGCCAGATGCTCTCTGCCCATGCGCAGAAGTTGCGCACCCCTCACATTCAGGGGGATACAGCCGGGGGGGGGGCCGATCCTTCCCATCCCGTGCCCTCTGCCTATGCTCTGAGACGCTCTTGACTCTCAGAGTCCTCCCTACATCTCAGTCTTAGCCCACCCGCCAGATATTCTCTGCCCATGCCCAGAAGCTGCACCCACCCTTCACATTCAGAAGGATACCGCCGGAGAGGCCTGATCCATCCCATCCCGTGCCCTCTGTCCATGCTCTGAGACGCTCTTGACTCTCCTAGTCTTCCATCCGTCTTAGCCTCAGCCCACCTGTGAGATGTTCTCTGCCCATGCCCAGAAGGCTGCACCCACCCTTCACATTCAGGGGAGGCCCCGATCCGTCCTATTTTAACCCAGGCCCTCTGCCCACGCCCCGAGGCGCTCTTGACTCTCCTAGTCTTCCCTCCCTCTCGGTCTCAGCCCACCCGCCGGGTGTTCTCTGCCCATGCCCAGAAGCCCCCCCACACACCCCCTTCCATCTCGCAGGGGGTGACCCCAGCCAGGGCCGCCCGCCCCCCCTCCCCTCCCCGGCCTCTCCTCTGCCCATGCTCAGAGGCGCCCCTCCCGCCCCTCCTCCGGGCCCATTCAGGAGGATACCGCCGGAGAGTCCTGATCCGTCCCATCCCTTGTCCTCTGCCCACGCTCTGAGACGCTCTTGACTCTGAGTCTTCCCCACGTCTCAGCCACCTGTGAGATGTTCTCTGCCCATGCCCAGAAGGCTGCACCCACCCCTCACATTCAGGGGAGGCCCTGATCCGTCCCATTTTAACCCAGGCCCTCTGCCCACGCCCCGAGGCGCTCTTGACTCTCCTAGTCTCCCCTCCCTCTCGGTCTCAGCCCACCCGCCAGGTGTTCTCTGCCCATGCCCAGAAGACCCCCCCCCAACACCCTTCCATCTCGAGGGGGTGAGCACAGCCAGGGCCGCCCCCCCCCTCTCCCCGGCCTCTCCTCTGCCCATGCTCAGAGGCGCCCCTCCCGCCCCTCCTCCGGGCCCGCCTCGCCCCCGAGACTCACGATGGCCCGTCCGTAGCAGGCGGCGGCCTCCGGGTACTTGCGGCCGACGAAGAGCCGGTTGCCCTGCTCCTTGTACTCCTGCGCGCTGCGGCTCTTCTCCGGGCTGCCGCCCGCCAGGACCCCCCCGACGCCGCCGACGCCCAGGCCCAGGCCCAGGCCCGGCCCGACGCCTCCTCCGCCGCCTCCCCCGGGCAGACCCCCGACGCCGCCGACGCCGCCCTCCTTCTCTTTCTCCTCCTTGCCCTTCATGCCTCCCAGGCAGAAGCAGCCCAAGCAGCCGCCGCCGCCGCCGGCGGCCCTGGCGGAGGAGGAGGAGAAGGAGGAGCCCGGCGGGCACCGATCGCCCCGGCCTCGCCGCACCGCCACAGCCCGACTCGGGCCTCGGCCGCCCCAACCCCGGCAGCAGCAGCAGCAGCACCAACCAGCCCCAGCAGC